TTTGCCTGGGGAGGGAAGGAGAGCCCAGAAGATGGGAGGTGACCCCTGTTCTGGAGGTACCAGGCAGCTGCAGGGCACTGATCTGTGCTTGGCACCTTTCAGATGCACCAAATTCTGGGCCATGAGACCTGAACATGACTTGGACATCAGAGGCCTGAGAGTGCTGTCCTGTGACCATCAAGCCAGGAATGATCTCTTGGCGTAAGCCCCTCTACTGGAAAGGCAGCCAGGCTTCCTACAGAGCAGAATCCAACCTCTGCTCTCTGCAATTAGTTCCAGTCATGGTCAGTGTTGAAATATGTGCTAATCCACACTTGAGCAGGCCTTGCTTTAACTCCCAGCCTTTGGGTCTCATTATTTTAATTCCTCTGCTAAATAAAAGAGCTCCCAAGTACTTACTTGGTGTTTGGATTTTGCGAGGCTGATGCAATCTCGTGTCTGTCCCTCATCCCTTCCTGATGTGTGAAGCAGGGAAATTTGAATGACAGCTAGTGGCTTTCTGAGGGAGCTTTTAAGGATTTGGGCCAGGTCAGAAAGGGCTTGGAGCAACCTGGGCTAGTGGAAGGTGTCCCTGCCCATGGCAGGAGGTTGTAACAAGTTCATCTTTGTTCAGGCACCAGCTGTGAGTGAGGGTCCATAGTGACAGAGGTTCCCCAGGCAGGTGCAGAGGAGAGGGGTTTCATTGCAAAAACCAGGCTTTTTATCAGTTAGCTGGTTATCAGTTACATAGCTTTAAATCATAACAAATGTAATTCAACCAATGACCATACACCACAATGTGAACATGTAATGGTTATATAACTTGTTTTTCTACCCCTAATTCAATTTTCTCTTTCCCATAGTCCTTTTCTACTTAGCCAAAGTAACAAGCCTGAGTCAGGATTTTACAAGGGCTTCCCTTGTTAAGGTTTTACCTGTATGCAATACATCTTTAAGGTTCCTTCCAATGCAAACCATTCTGTGCTTCTGTAATTTTTAATTTTTTTTAATTGGGCAAATATGTGTCATGAAATAAGCTCTACTTGTTTCTCTTCCTATCCATAAAATTTCTTCAGGGAAGGATGTGAAAAAAGTTTTCATTGGTGCCCACAGCTTTATAGAAGAGATGATCCTGGAGGAGATCAATTACTCAGACCTCCATTATCTCCATTAAAATACTGACCCAGCAGGAGACATGCACTTGGAACTTTGTGCATGGAACAGGACAGCCCTGGGAGTTCCCTATCACCTCTGATGCACCGTCCTGCTTCTCCCACCTAGCCAAGCCACCTGGATCCAGCTGCTGCCTCCTGCTCCTCTGTGCGTGGTCCCTCATGCCTTTTCCATCACAGGAGCCACTTGTACCCCAGGGATGGTCACAGAACTCAGGCCGGGCTCTCTCTCTTCCCAGGACTCTGGTGCCAGTCTCCACTCCAGATCCGTGCATGCATCACTGCTTTTGCAGAGGGGATTTCCAGGATAAACAGTTGGGATGAGCTCATGGAAATCTGGGGCTTGTTCGCCCTGGTTAGCGACCCCTGGCACGAGCCCCGGCACTGGGAACCCCCTCAGGGACAGGGTGGGGTGGGGGAGGGCTGCTGGGCACAGGGGCTGCGCAGGTGACTGGGCAGAGGGGCTGGCAGGGCTGCACGTCCTGTTCTCCAGCCCAATTAACAGCACCTCGGAGAATGAGGTCATTGGAGTGGCCAGACAGTCTGGGAAAACACTTTCACAGCTCCAGGAGGATTTCCTTTTTCCTCTTTTCAATTGTTCCTCTGTGCTGCCTCCCTCTGCTCCCCCCTCTCCATCCATGTCCTCAGGCCTCCTTTGCACTCGGGCAGAGGCAGCTGTTGGATGCTGCTCACGCTGTTCCCCTGGGCAGGCAGGAGAGGAAGGGCCCTGCAGAAGCTGCTGGGGGACCCTGGCTGCTGCAGGGGGTTCTGCTCTGCCTTTGCTGGCACGTGGCTGTGGGAAGGAGGGGGCCACAGAGCTGCTCCTGGAAGCCTCTGGCCAGCCCCAAGCCTGTCCCACCCCATGGTGGGGTGACAGGGATGGCAGTCCCTTTCCTACTCTTAGTCACCTGTTTGGGACAGTGAAGTCTGCTCAGCATGGCAGGCAGGAGAACCTCTATATTTTGCCACCAAAAATATGGAAGTCTTTGAAGATAGAAGCCTTCAGAGTAAGTATTTATCCAAAAACATCTCTTGCACCAGCTTTTGCCAGGATTGCAATGAGGTTGCCTTTGCTTCCCCACTGTAGCTCTAGGTCCATCCGTGGGTCCCTCCTGAAGTCACCTCAGGAATCCTGTGACCACAGTTGCTGTTGTCCCCTGGGACCACACTCATCCTCCTGGCTCTCCACACACGGAGTGATGCTCCCACTCCTCTGCCATCCTCCCCAGCCCCAGCACAGCCCCGAGTCCTCCCTGCTTCACCAAAAGCTCCTGGGAGGGACCTCAGAGTTACTGTCCTGTGTGACAGTGACCACCACGTCCCCCATCACACAGGGCAGGGGGTCCCTGCCCTGAGGAGGTGATGGGCATGCAGGACCAGCCTGGAAGGGACGGCTCTGGAGGACATAAATTTATCTCCCTCCCAGGAGAGAAATGGGGTGTTGGGAAGGAGGGAGGAAGGGTCAGGGTATGAGAGATGGACTGGGTTGTAGAGCAGTACAGCAAGGCTGCCCACGTCCCAAAGAAAGTTCCCTTTGCCCCAGCAGACCAGGATTGGGCACTTGGAAAGAATCCTTGCCTGATCCATCACAAACTTGTCCCTCAGGTTTGGGGCATGACACAGGACCCACAAAGTGTGGGCTGGCTGGTTTTGGGCACGGGAAGGACAATGTTTGGAGAGGCTGTGTGCTTGTGGCTTTCTGATGGATCAGTCTGGCTTCAGGGCACATCTTCCTTCAGACTTTTAAGGGGAACATTGGTTAAGCAAGACTCCGAATGAGAGGCACCCTCAGGACTTGGTGTCTGACACTGACCCTGGGCAGAGAATGCTCCAACACTCCTGGGCCAGGCTGCCCTCGGAGGGGGTTTGGGCCTGCAGGAAAATCCACTCCCCACAGTCACCAACTGATGCTCCATGAGGCATCCAGGGGAGGAAGGTCTCCAAATACACTTTTCCAAAGGAGCTGCCAGGCTTGTCCATGGCTCCACCATGGCCCCAGGCTGTTGCACTCCCAGGCCACCGCTGCCTTATCCTTTCAGTGCTGCAGTGTTTATTCCTGTCAGCACCCACCATCCCTCCTGGCCTTGGAAACTGCTCCCATGTGCAGCATCACCCTCCCTGGCCTTCTCCACGCTCAGAGCAAGAATTCCAGAGGGACTTTGCCAGGCTGCTGTAGACATGACCTCAGGGCAATGTGCAACTTGCTCCAGAGGTGCCTGTTTTCCTCTGTGGGGAATCCACAGACCAGGGATACACAAACCCATCTGATATGTTCAAAGAATTACTGAGCATCTGCAAGGAGAGGGAAAGAAAAACAAACACATGGATAAAAGGATTCCTAGCACATGACAAAGAGGAAAGAAAAGGAGACAGGGATGAATAAGGCCACCCAGACAGGTCCCAGGCATTTCTGGGAGCCCACCATTTCCTTGATGAGAGGGACCTCAGCTCAAACTGTCCCTGCCTGCCTGTCCCCTTTGTTCCTCCTCCTGGGAACATGCAGTCAGACGGGACACATGGTGCAACTTCACAGAATCATGGAATGGTTTTGGTTGGAAGAGCCACAAAGGTCAACCCATTTTACCCCCTGCCATGGGCAGGGACACCTTCTACTGTCCCAGGTTGCTCCAAGCCCTGTTCAACCTGGCCTTGGATGCTTCCAGGGATGGGGCATCACCAGTGAAGAGCTCCTTTCTGCAAAGCATGGACATGGCTCCTTAACTCCCAACCTCTGCCCTGACCACTTGGTGCAGCTCATGGATCTGCAGTTCTAAAATGTGCCCCTTTTGCATCCACCCTGAGCAATTCCACTTTTGGGTTTTTCTTTGCATAAAACACAGCCCAGGGCAGGCTTTTCCTGCTATCCTTGGCATCAATTACATCAGTGCTCCAGGGCTCAATCCAGAATTCAGACATTCAGAAGTCTTCTACATCATGTTAGTCATCTCCTTTTCCCTGCCCCAATATCAAGCACATGGTTTCATCCATCAAAAAAACAACGTGGGCAACCTGTGATCTTCCAGAACAACCAGAGGAGCTGCAGCTTTCACTCTGCCCAAGGGGAGGATGCTGAGACCAGCTCAGATCCCTCAGGAGATGTTCAGAACTGGTGTACACACTCCATGCTGTAATGCTAAGTGGCCAGGCAGGGATGACACCCAGTTCCTGAGCTGTGGTCCCCAGGAAGAAGCAGGGAAGGGCCTGCTGGTCTCCAGGAAAGCCGTGTTTGGCAGCCTGAAGTCCTGCTTGCCCTGGTGGATCTCCCGCTGCAGCTCTGTCTTTCCAGGGAGCACAAACCCTGCTGAGGGAGGGCTGGCTTGAGGAGTGTCACCTGCCCTCAGGTGTCCTTATCCCTGGGGTCTGAAGTCACTGCTGTTTGCTGCTGTGAGGATCAGGCCAGCAGAGAGGGATGTCTGGCTCACAGGAGAGAGGGATGAGGGAGGATGATCTCCTTGGTGCCCAAGACTGAACCAGCAGGAAGTTCTCAGGACTGGTTTTCACTCTGAGTGTGATGAGACAAGGAGGTGCAGTTGGGATGGATGGGAACCAGCAGGGAAATTGAGCTCTCCAGGGAAGAGAGAGAAGCAGACCTTTCCATGGCTTCAGCCTCTGGACAAATCACAACAGGCCTGAGAAGTGTCTGCTTGGGATCCTGTGGCAGATGGGATTACAGGACCAGCACCAGAATTAAATTAGGAATTAAATTACAGGACCAGTGCAGGTATTAAAACAGGAAGGGAGCAGCACCAGAGGCTTTGGGACATGTGGAGAGCTCAGATGCCCATATACCATCCCAGGCTAATGTCCTAATACAGATCCAGGCTCATGTCCATGCAAAGTTCCCCACACCCAGTTCCCTATGTCCAGGTCTCTGCCCAGGTCCAGATCTATGCCCATGTCCAGATCCATGCCCAGGTCCAGATCTATGCCCATGTCCAGATCCATGCCCAGGTCCATGCCCAGTTCCCTATGTCCTGGTCCATGCCCATGTCCAGCTACTTCAACCTCACGAAGGTGAGACCACCCAGGGCCCTCTCCTGGGAGGGAGAGCAGGAGGAGGAATCCTGCCCTGAAGTGCCAGCACAGGGCACCTCAAGCACACCGGCCCTGGATGGAATCAGGGCACAGCTGGCACAGGACGAGGACTGAAGCTCAGTGGCTCTTGCTGGGCTCCACAAACATTCTTGCTGCTGAGTCCCAGGCTGAGCTCTCGGGTCAGCAAGTGCCAGGACCATTAATAGTGCAGTGACAGTGTTTAAATTGGAGCTGCCACCAGTGCAGACACAATAACTCCTGGTGCCTGAGAAACTGATTAGCAATGGCCCCGGGCTGCATTTTCCATCACCCTCTGCAGAGCTGGGGGGGAGAAGGGTGAGAAGGGGACCTCTGGGACTTTGGTCCACGCTGCCATCACCAGGCTCTTCCCTGAGGCTGTGCCCTGTCCCATCTCCCTCATGTCCAGCTGCTGGAGCCCCTAGTGCAGAGCTCCAGGGCTGCACTGACACTTATTGTCGAGTGTTTACTGTCATTGCCGGGGAGACATTAGTTCAGATTATGTCAAAACAAAGTTATTCCAAGCTCAATCCTAGAGAAAAATATTATTGTAAGCACTGATTGGCGAGGGGCAGCATGTCCACCGCCAGCAGTCCCAAAGCCCAGGGGGTGGGGGGAGATAGGATCTTTGTTTTCCAGCCAGGCTCCCAGCCAAGAGCAGCCAAAGCCGAGGTAGAAGAGAGATGTTGTGAGGCAGCCAGGAATTCAGGTCAAAGCTTCATTTTCTCCAGAAAAAAAAAAAAAAAAAGTCCTTTAAACTGTAAGGAGAAAGTCTTGTTCCAGCCCCAGCCTTGGCCAGAGAGTGTATGTGCCATATTGTCCAGGAATTGAATGTAAGGAATCCAGATATGCCATGTTATCCAAGAATCACATGTAGGAAATCCAGGAGTGACTTGTTATCTAGGAATCACATGCTGGGAAGCCAGACACAGCCTGTTAGACAGTGATTGTATGCAAGGAATCCAGATGTGGCACATCAGCTGGGGGCTGGATGCAAGGAATCCAGATGTGCTGTGTTATCCCAGAGCTGCAGGGAGGGGTGAGAAACAGGCAAACACACAGAGGCTGCACCTGCTTTGGGAGTGCAGGTACTCAGCAGACCCTGGCCTTAGCTCAGGAACAGATGAAAAGCCAAAAAGCAGGCTCAAAACCAAGGCTGCAGTTGGAGACAGGCCAGGGACAAGCCCACAGGGTGCAGGGACCTGGTGGCCAGCGAGGAGCAGGGCAGGGAGGAACTGGCTGGAGGTGGAGGTGGGCCAGAGATCAGCTCTGGGGACAGGGGTCAGCAGAGAGGGGGTCATGTGGTGGGTGGCCCTTCTCACCCGTGCTGGACAATGGCCCCAGGGCCACCAAGAGAGGGACAGGAGGCGCCTTGAGCACAGCTGGCAGAGGGAAGGGGATGCACCAAGGGGAAGAGGAGAAGATGTAAGGGTATAAATGAGCCCAAAGAGGTGCAAGTAAGGACAGCAAAATGCAAACAAAGTCTCAGGAGAAATTCCCAGACAGTGAGATAGAGTGGACACCTCTCCCGAGGCTGGAAGGGGATGGATGGGATCTGCGGAGCAGCTCCCTGGGGAGCTGCAGGGGACAGAGCTGAGAGCCCCAGCTGGGCAGGGGCCCAGGGCTGCAGCCTGAACCCTGGGGAGCTCAGCCTCAGAGGGTGTCACCAAGACCACCCGGGGGCCCGTCCCAAGCATAGCTCCCTCATCCAGGGACAGGGGCAGGTGGGAAGCTGCCTCCACATGGGTGAGCCAGCACAGGTGCCACCACCCCCAGGAACCCTTCACAAACCTAGGAAGTGCTGGGAGTAAAGGAATCTTGCCCAACACTTGTCCCCTGGGGTGTCCCTACTTTGGAACTCTTCAGAGACACAGTCCTTTCCAATGCTGCCAGCACATCTTCCCACGAGCTGGGCAGAGCTTCAGAGCAGCTGGTACCATCTCCTGGCACTTGAGGCTCCTCTGGTCCCATCCCCAAGGGACAGAGGAAATAGGGAATAGGGAATAGGGAATAGGGAATAGGGAATAGGGAATAGGGAATAGGGAATGGGGAATGGGGAATAGGTCCATGACCACACTGCTGTGGTGATTCAGTGCCAGCCTGAGATCCAGTGCTGTAGATCCAATGCTTCCCATAAAGTGTGCCCTGGGGCTCAGGTGCACTGTTCTGACACATTCCCTCCCCTCCAGGATGTGGTTTCTCATCTGGTCTCCTCTCAGGGTCTATTTTCATCCTGCCCATTGAACAAGTGCCACGGAAACAAAGCTCTGGAGGGCTCTGGGGACTGGCCAAAGCATGAGCTGTGCAAATGGCACCAGGCAGAATGCCCAGCATTATTCCAGCATGGAAATGGCCTCTTCAGAGCCCCCCCTCCCCTTCCCCAGAGCTCCTGAAGGAAGAGGCACCCAGAAGGTGGCAGTGGAACATGCCCCAGCCATAGGGGTGTACAGAATCAGCACATTCTCCCTTGGGTTTGGGGAGGATGGATGCCTTGGAGCAGAGGAGGAGGGAGTGGGCGGTGGTGGGACTGCAAGGGTGCCCCCAGGCAGAAGGGTAGCAAGCATCCAATTTTATCCTGGGTTTTCTGGGAAAAGATCCTGATCCTACCCATGCCATCCTCTGGGTGACTCCGGGCAGGTGGGAGAACATTTCTCACACACAAAGTGAGCTCCTTCTGCAGACACATAGGTGGTGTCAGTGTCACCAGCTCTACCCTCATCCCCTGCATCGTCCACCCCTGTCTGTATGGGCACCCTTGGTAGCTGAGATCTCTATCCCAACCTCCATTCCTCTGCACTGCCTTGTCCGTCTCCTGTACCATATCCAGTGCCCACCCCCATGCTGGTTTCATGGTCCTCTTGTGGGTGGCCTGTGGTCTGAGCAGCTCTTTGCTGCTGGACATGGAACTGGACCCACTTTCCTGTGAGGACTCTGCTCTTTCCTTAGTTTGGTGCCCCCTACCAAAGGGGAAAGCCCTGACAGAAGGGGGCAGTCCAGGGGGTTGGGCTCTGCTGCCAGGGAATAGGGACAGGACAAGAGGAAATGGCCTCAGGCTGGGCCAAGGGAGGGTCAGGCTGGATGCTGGGGAAAACTTCACAGAAACAGTGATCGGGCATTGGAACTGCCCAGGGCAGTGGGGGAGTCACCACCCCTGAAGGGGTTTAACAGATGTGTCAGTGTGACACTTGGGGACATGGGTTATGGTGGCCTTAGCACTGCTTGGGGAATGATTGGACTTGATGATCTCAGAGGGCTTTTCCAACCTGAATGAGTCGGTGATTCTGAGAGTTTAAGCAGCCGTACGCGCTCCTGCTGGTCCTCCACAAGGGCCACAAAAGAATGGGAAGAGCACCTTGATTTGGTCTTTGCCAGCAAAGCTTACCTGGAGAATTTTTCCTACAAACTTGGCCCAGAGCCTGACTCACAGAAAAACCTTGTGCAGCAGAGCTCCAGGCAGTGGTGAATCCTCCGAGGATCCAGAATCTCCTCCAGTGCCTGGTGAGACTCGAAGAGTGGGAAACTGCCGCTTGTTTCAAGGCTGAGTTTGTCTAAATTAGATTTGCAGCAGTGGGCCATGGTGTGCATTTGTCAACACTCCCCAAAGCGTCCCCCACCAGGAAATATCTTTATGTGCAATTACCTATAAAAATGGTGACATCACCACCCAGGCTCCTTGGAGCAATCGGGACCAACCACGCCCTGCATCCTGCAGTTTATTCCCAGCCCCTGGGAGCAGGGTCCATGATGAGTGTCCGGCTCACCCTGTCTGGCTGCACAGCCCCCCCTGGGCCATCCCTGCCCCTCCCTGGGCTATCAAGTCCTGGCTCATGGCAGGTGTCCAAGCCCTCAGCACTGTCCGGTCTTTCCAAGACTTGTTCAATGTCAGTGTCAGCATTTCAGGGACTCTTCCAGCAGCTCATTCCCAGCTCCAGGGTATCAGTGAACCAGGCCTGTTGGTCTGTGGTTGCACAGCCTCCCTTGTTACAGATGTAATTGCTTTACCCTGGTCTCCCTCATTACAGATTTAATTACTTTACCCTGCCAGGATTGAACGTGTCTGCTTTGACCCAGCACAGGGTGGAGTCATTTGTTGAACACTGTTAGGATTAGGCCCCATTTGTTTTACGTAGGGCTGGGATTTGGGGTTGGCTTGGGTGTCCTAAATGTATGTTCTCAAAGGCTTCTCGCTGCCATCAGCCAGTGACAGCTCACTGATTTCTCTCCCCTCCTACCACCAGCAGTTCTGTACATCGCTGGAGGCCTCCCTGTTCCTCATCTCCCTGGGGTGCTCCTCCTTCTCCCGTCCATGCACAGGACCCTTGGGTTTTGACACATACCAGGCTCTCAGCAGAAACCTTCTCTCTGATGGAGTTGTCTCCTCCAGGACAGATGGAAGTGTCCCGTGGGCCAGATGGACTCTGCTTGACTTGCCAGCCTTGGGTTTTCCATCACCACTCCTGCAGCCTTTTCCTGCCTCTGTCCACAATCTGCTGCAGCTGCTCCCAGGTGGACAGAGCAGCCCAGCCAGGACTCTGGGTGCTCTGCCGGGTCTAAGGCAGATCCCTCCCAAGGCCTTCACCAGGTGCCATCATCCTGCTGTCCCAGGATATGCCACCAACATCTCTTTTCCCATCCGATGGCCACTCAGCTCCACACTACAACCTCCTCATCATGTGACACTGCCTGTCAGCATGAGTCACTCCTCCAGAAATCATGGCAGAGGGAGAAGGATGAGGAAGAGGGGAAGGCATGCTGCCCTCTCCAAGGCAGCAAAACAAAGTCAACACTTTGGCCTTCATTCAGTTCCTTGCCTCTTCCCCAGATGCTGGCCAGGCCCCCGCCTGGTTCCCACCTGCTGCAGCACTTGGGCAGCGTGGTCCTCCCCCTGCAGCTGCAGGCCACCA